TAAATTAGAAAGCACATCCCATGTATCAAAATAATATATTTTGTAAAACACATTCATTTATTTAATTCAATATGAATTAGTTTATAGTAATAAAAATAATAATATGCTCAATATAATTATTATACACCTTCACAATATATAAATATAATAATTATTTATTTTTCATGAGAAATAATCAAATGTATAAAAAAAAACTACATCATTTCTTACTTCCTATAAATAAGGGTAAATTGGTAAAATATACAAAAAACTCCTTCTAACCCCTTCTCCCAACCAAATACAAAACATAATAACACCCCTCATTACCCCTCCAATGAACCAAACATAATATCTTTTAAAACTCCTCCATCCTCCTCCCCCTCCCTACTCCCCCCCACCCCTCCCCACCCCCTTGAACAAAGGCTAAGGTAGTTATGCCCCTGTATGAATAACATATCTACTTCATTTGAAAAAAACATTGAGTAAAGTCCTAAAAGCTCATTTGCTTCTTTCAAAAAGGAAAATGAAAAATCTTCCTAAATCTGTTTTTAAGAGTGTTAGTTAATTGTGTGAAGAAGGTATCGGTTTTGGTAGAACTTCTACCTTCTAAATCGTGCAGGTTAGAAAGGTGTACAGTGGGTGACTGGGCTTGTTGTATCATGGGGGATGACGTGAACTGAAACCTCTTTGCACCGGTTTAAAAACTAAGAGGGCGCGTATCATCTCAAGAGAGCGACCTAGTCTGCGCCTCAATCTCCGCCACCCATTTTACTTCTATTTTGTAGAAGTTTGGCTACAAGATCGTGATCATCCAGTCTTTTCCGCTGGTGCTGTATTGCTTCATTCTCCAACAATTTGAGAAGAAACTTTACCAATGGAGAATTCTATTGAAAGCCTGCCCAAGAGTAATCAAGTCGGCGACCTCAACCGCCCGTTTTGCTATGACGGTGCTAACTATAAAAGATGGAAGCAGAAGACTTTGTTTAACCTCACTCTTTTCAATGTGGCTTACATTCTGGTGGAAAAGAGTCTTAAGAAAAAAAGACACTGAAAAGATGACTGATGAGGAGAAAGCTGAGCACGAGACAACTATGAAGAAATGGGAGAAAGACCATAATTACTGTAGAAATTATTTACTGAACTGTCTTTCTAACAATTTATATGATTATTATGACCGAGTTCATTCTTCAGCGAAGAAAATATGGAAAGCGCTGCAACAAACGCTATTTCAGATTTCGGATGGTGGAAAACAAGTCTGTGATAGAAAAGAAGCCCATGATCTCCAGTTGCTTGCCCATGTAGATGAAAATATGGAAGTTGCTGCCATTATTGACAAACTGCTCGACTTTTGGAAGGAATTTGGGAAGGTTTTACGCCATAAACAGAAGGAGCTTTCTATCGAGTCCTTAATCATGCGCTTGAGAGTAGAGGAGGAGCATAGAAAACAGGACAATTCGCCAGACTTCAATGGCACAGGTTCGAAGGTAAATCTTCTCACTTCTAATGACAACATGCCAAGGACTTCCAATAAAAAATTGAAAGTTAAAAAGAATTTTAATAAAAAGAAGTCCTACAAAGGTCAATTTAATCAGAGGAAAAACCAAGGATCTTCTTCCGAAAAAGCACCAAACAATAAAAGAAATGATGGGTGCTATGTTTGTGGCAAACCTGGACATATTGCAAGGCTATGCCATTTTCGGAAACAGGAAACTTCAAGTGAGGTTCATGTTACCGAAGAGTCACTTACGACCATGATATCTGAGGTCAATGCCGTTGATATTTTTGAAGGATGGTGGGTAGACTTTGGTGCCTCAAGGCATGTCTGCTATGAGAAAACTTGGTTCAAAACTTATTCTCTTTTTGAAGCAGAGAAGAAAGTATTGCTTGGTGATTCCCACACCATTAATGCTCTGGTTATGGTCAAATTGAATTGAATTTCACTTATGGTAAGAAATTAACCTTGAAAATTTTTTTGGCATGTTCCTGATATTAGAAAAAATCTGGTTTCTGGTTTTCTCTTGAATAAGGCCGGATTCAAACATATTTTTGAATCTGATCAATTTATACTGATGAAAAAGGACATGTTTTGTTAGGAAAGGTTATGCTTGTGAAGGCATGTTAAAACTAAATGTTGAAATGAATGAAATTTCAGTTGTTTCTGCTTATATTGTTTCTTGTATTAATGTTTGGCATGCTCGATTGTGTCATGTTAATTCTAACTATGTGAAAAATATGAGCAGTTTAGGATTAATTCCTAAACTAGAAAATTAATTTGAAAAATGTGTATCATGCAACATAGCCAAAATTACAAGAAATCCTTTCAAAAGTGTGGTAAGAAATTATGAATTGTTAGATTTAATTCACATTGATATTTGTGAACTTGAAAGGATACACGAGGTGGAAAAAGGTATTTCATAACCTTTATTGATGATTTTTCAATGTATTCATATGTTTATCTTATGAAAAATAAAAGTGAAGCCTTTGAAAACTAACCACCTATATAAATCAGATTCAAAATATTTTTGACAGAAAAATCAAGAGGTTTAGGAGTGACAGAGGAGGTGAGTATGACAATCTTGGATTAAATTCTTATATAAAATCTTTGGGAATTGTTCATGAGGCTACACCTCCATACTTTTCTGCCTCAAATTGAGTAGCAGAACGAAAAGAACTCTGATAGATTTGACTAATTCAATGTTGGTGAGCATTGGGGCTCCCAAAAACTTATGAGGAGAAGCAGTTCTTACTGCTAATTATGTCCTGAACAGAGTACCACACAAACACTCACTCAAAACACCTTATGAACTTTGGAAGGGTCATAAACCAAACTTGAATTACCTAAGAGTTTGGGGTTGTCTTGCCTTTGTTAGGTTTCTAGATCCTAAAAGACCAAAACTTGGTAGTAAGGCCTCTAGATGTGCATTTATGGGTTATGCTTTAACCAGTAAAGCATATAGATTTCTTGACCTTGACAACCATGTTATGATTGAAACCCTTGATGCCATCTTTCATGAAAACACTTTTCCTTTTAAAACTAAAAATAGTGGGGGTGTTGATATTGAACAAACAGTTATCCCTCAACCTATAAACAGTCAACAAGCCTTTGATAAAACTACCTCTGAACCCACATAAGGAGATGAACCTGAGATTGAAATTAAAAGGAGTAAAAGAGGAAGAGTAGTAAAAGACTTTGGCCCTGAGCACCATGTGTATAATATTGAAAATGATCCTACCACTATTGATGAAGCCTTATCCTCTCCAGATTCAGCCTTATAGAAAGAAGCCATCAATGATGAGATAGATTCTTTGATGACCAACAAAACTTGGAAACTAGTTGACCTACCACAAGGTAGTAAAGCTATTGGGTGTAAATGGGTACTAAGAAAGAAATTGAGACCCGATGACTCAATTGACAAATATAAAGCCAGACTTGTAGCCAAAGGCTTTAGGCAAAAATAGGACATTGATTTCTTTGACACATTTTCTCCCGTAAGCAAAATTACGTCAATAAGAGTTCTAATTGCAATTGCTGCTATCCATGACTTAATAATCCATCAAATGGATGTGAAAACTGAAAACAGCTTTCCTAAATGGAGAGTTGGAAGAAAAGATATACATGGAGCAACCTGAAGGTTTTGTTGTGTCAGGTAATGAAAATAAAGTATGCAAGTTACTAAAATCATTATATGGTTTAAAGCAAACTCCAAGACAGTGGCATGAAAAATTTGACATGTGCTTACTTTTCTAATGGTTTTAAAACCAATAAAAGTGATAAATGCATATATTGAGATTATAATTGCTACCAAAATGCTGCTTACTAATAATTTTGATATGAAAGATTTAGGAAATGTTATTCTGGGCATGAGGATCACAAGGATTTCAAATGGTATTTTTCTAGACCAATCTCATTATGTCGTAAAATTTTTTTGATTGCAAACCCTTTTGCTCTTTTTTCAACCCAAATATATATTTATTACATAAAATGAATGAGATATTTTCAATCAAAAAGAGTACGCTAGTATTATTGGTAGTTTGAGGTATGCCACTAATTGTACTAGACCCGATATTGCTTATGCTATAAGGGTGTTGGCTAGATTTACAAGTAAACCAAACTTAGAGCATTGGAATGACATTAATTATGTGATGAGATATTTGAAAAGAATTATAATTTATGGCATAAAGATATCTTGCTGTACTAGAAGGTTATAATGATGCCAATTGGAATACATTGGCTGATGACTCTTTGTCTGCCATTGGTTATGTGTGTTTTTTGGGAGGTGGAGCAATTTTGCTGGAAATCTAAAGAACAACAAATAATTGCAAACTCTACAATGGATGCAAAGCTTATTGCGTTAGCCTCAGCAAGTGAAGAAGCAGGTTGGTTGCGTGATCTTTTATTTGAAATCCCAATATGGGGAAAACCAATACCACCTGTCTTAATTCATTGTGATAGTACAACCACAATTGGGAGAATTAATAGTAAATATTATAATGGTAAATCCAGATCTATAAGGAGAAAACATAACTATGTGAGATCTCATATTACTAATGGTACCATTAACGTTGATTATATTCAAGGTGGTGGTAATCTTGCAGATCCTTTGACAAAAGCTCTAGCTAGAGAGAAGATCTGAATGACATCGAGGGGATGGAACTTAAGCCCAAAGAATGACAAAAATCATGTATGAGAATACCCTACCTAATGATTGGAGATCCCAAGAATTAGGTTCAAAAGGAAGAACGAATCATATGGTGGTTTGACGACATGCACAATATTATTCTTTTTCTTTTATTAAATAAAAAAGAGAAAGAATGTCCCTCCCTATGATATGGTGCATGGATCCTGTAAAGTAATGAAGGTTGAGTATTTTAATACTCTTAATGAGAACTATAGTTCTTTTGAGTGGGACGCAGAGTTACAGGAGCATCCTTAATAGTCTCACCTAGATGAGTGTGAGATAGCTCAGCAACGGCAAAAGAGGAAGATAAGGTTCCTTTATCAAATCAAATAAGACAGAGTCATGAGCTCTGAAAACTCTCTCCCTCCTATCTCCTGCGAAGAAGAAGCCGAGCTCCATAGAAGCACTAAGAAGATCAAAGAGAACAATTCAATGAGCAATCAAACTCAACTCCCACCACGATCAGTGGTCTCTTACAAGGACTCCCTCCTAGGAGCCAACTATGGCTTATTTGATCAAAGCCATTTTCTAGACCATGAAGACTCTGAAATGGGTAACAATTCAGATGAAGATCCTGACGTGGACACACGCTCCACGGTCTCCTTACCAGATGATAATCCTGATGATCTCTCAATCAACCTCTCCAAAGAAGATAGAGCCAGAATAAGACAAAAATGGGCAAAAACATTGATTATCAAAGTCTTTAGAAAAAATATTGGTTACTAATATCTGGTTCAGAAACTTCACTCACTATGGAACCTTCCCCAGCGGTTTTTCACTATCGATCTTGGTTGTGACTACTTTTTAGTCAAATTTGACTCTGATGAAGATTACAACTCTGTTCTTAAAGGGGGTCATTGGTTTGTTGAATGAAGATTCCTTGCTGTTAGATGTTGGGAACCTAATTTCAGAGCATCTGAAGCTTCTTTCTCCTCTGTAGCAGTTTGGTTGAGGCTTCCCGAATTACCAATAGAATACTATGACCTCCCCATCCTTAAGAGAATTGGAAAGAGGATTGGCCAGGTTCTTCGAATAGACAATCACACTCTATCCAGTGAAAGAGGCAAGTACGCCAGACTGTGTGTACAAGTGAATCTTGAAAAACCTTTACCAACAACTGTCACTATGGAAGGCGAAAAACAAGCCATTATATATGAAAGCATTGGAATGCTTTGTTTTAACTGTGGCAAATTGGGTCATAGGAAATCTTCTTGTCCAGATCTACCCATTTCTGAAACCACACAAGAAAAACCAGTTCATCACCCCTCCGAGAAAGCTCCCTCTCCCAAGGACGGAGACGAGTACGACCCTTGGCTTCTAGTGCAACGCAGAAGATCCAAAAATAAAGTACCAACGACTAGTATTTTGACAGCTGACACCAGTCACAACAAAAAGACTATTGCATCAAGATCCAATGACCGAACTGCTGACACACAATTCCAAAGAAAATATGTTGTAAAATCACATCATCCTAAGTCAAATAAAGAAAAGCTTCCTGTAGCTGAAGCCTTGTTTCAAAATCCCCCTCCTCATATTGACACGAAGTCCAAGAGCTCTAGCTCTCTGCACATTAAAGAGAAATCTCCCAAAAGCTCTCCTTCTGTGACAGCCAAAGACACATCACCTAAGCCAAGTCAACCAAGGATATACTCAAACAAGAATTTTACCCCCTCTGGTATTTTTTTTACCCCTCTTGCTTCGCATGAACATTCCCCCATGCAAGATCCCATATCTTCTATTGTACTATCCCCACCCAAAACCCCTTTTTACCTAGCTCGTCCAATCCCACTGCCTCTATCATTTCCCAGAAACCCTATCTACCTTCTAGCTCCAACTGCCCTTCACCATCTTTCAACCATGACCAACCGATGGATAAGCAGCTTCCCTCATAGACCGTCGGCTCCCCAAACGGTAACTACCGACCAAGATGCAGCCTCGAGAGGAGGAATCGAGGAAACTACTATCGCCTAAGGGGCAGCCCAACCCTTTCTTCCAGATCAATCACCTCCCACTGAGACCCCGCAGACTGAGCAGCGAGATGCGCCGAGCAATTCTCGAGGGCTCTTCAACATTAGACTTGAACGGCCTACCTCTCCGAGAGACCGGGGCCGAGCCCGCACCCGTAGCCCCAGCTCCACCCACCAGAGAAATTCGAATCAGAGATACTCGCGTAACAAGGGACCCTCACCCAAGCCCCCTTACGCCTCTCCTGATTATACCACCGCCTGTGCAAATCTCCTTAATACCAAACTCATCACTCTTAAAGACTCTTAGTAGAGCCAACTATTCTCCCCCCATTAACCCATTTCTAATGGAAACTTGCATCATGAACATTCATCAATTTCATCTCACAAACAAGCCAGTGGAGTTACATCTCCCCAGCACCCAGATGTCGGCTCTGAAAATCTCAATCTGCACCCAGGTTCACCATCTGCGACTTGCAACGAGAACATTGCTGACTCAAGACCAAGAAGTTCAGAACGAAGTCACACTCACTCCATGGCTAACTTCACCGATGGAGCGGAGCAGAGACCCGGGTTGGGTCATGTCGGAGCAGATACCGTCACTGAATCCTATATCTTCAACCATGTGTGTCGTCGTTTGGAACTGCCGTGGTGCATGACACCCAGATTTCCTTCGTACCGCCAAAGATCTAGTGCAACTACATAAACCCTTGGTTCTTATCATCACTGAGACCCGAGCACGGGGTAACGATGTTAAGCACATCATTGACAGGCTGCCTTTTAATAAATGGAAGATACCGACACTATTGGCCACCTTGGAGGTATCTGGATGTTGTGGGACTCAACTGCTGTCTCCATCAATACTCTCTGCTCTACTGAACAAGAGATACATTCCACCATTAAGGTACACTCTTCAAATCACCTTTGGCTTCTTTCAGCAATTTATGCAAGTCCTAGGCTTAAAGAAAGAAAAATCCTTTGGCAGAATTTAAGAATTGTTGCTTCTAACCATAAATTGCCTTGGCTGGTTGTTGGCGACTTCAATGAAGTCCTTAGCTCTACTGACAAACGTGGTGGCCTCCCTGTCTCCCAATACCGCCTCAATTTATTTCAATCTTGTCTTAATGACTGCCATCTTTCTAACCTTAATTTTTCGGGCCCGCGATTCACTTGGTCGAATCTACGCAGTAACCTTTTCCTTATTCAAGAGCAAATTGATCTCGCTCTTGCCAACCCAGATTGGAATCTTCTCTTCCCTAATGCTTCTGTCCACCACCCTTTAGATTAGCCTTAGTGACGCAAGCCCTCATTTTGGTAACAAACCCTTTAGATTTCAAAATATGTGGTATAGCCATCAAGATCTCCCTGCCATCATATCTGCTTTTTTGTCTTCTAAATCCCCTATCCCTAGCACCATATCAGACTTCACTCTTTATCTTCAAAATTGGAACAGAGATGTTTACGACAATATTTTCCATCGCAAAAAAAGAATCCTTGCCAGACTTGCTGGTGTTCAGAAAGCCATTGATGTCAGCCTTAACCAGTTTCTTCTAGATCTCCAAAAATCCTTGACTTTTGATTACCAACAAATTCTCAAGGATGAATGGGAACTCTGGGCTCTCAAATCTATACTAAATTGGATCTTAGAAGGGGAACGAAACTCTCGTTTTTTCCATGTTACAACTCTGATCAGGCGTCGTTTTAACAAGATCATGGGTCTTTCAAATGACAATGGAGATTGGATTTCTGACCCTTTAGATCTCCAACAGTTGGTACTTTCGTACTTCAAAAATCTTTTTTCCACAACCAATATTGCTGAGCATTTATCTTTCGACTCCTTTAATGAAGATTGGGCCTCCTTACTCCCTGAAGACTTGGCCGCCCTTAACATCCCTTTAACTGATGTTGAAATCCACAAGACCCTTTGGACTTTTAAACCTGACAAGGCCCCAGGCCCAGACGGGCTCCATCCGGGCTTCTATCAGAGGAATTGGGCAACAGTCAAATCTAAAATCTGCTCGGCCATCCATGATATTTTTTATTCAGCCTCGATGCCCCCTGAGTTTAATGGAACCCTTATTTCCCTTATTCCCAAGTGTCATGGATTGACAAATCTGTCCCAATTCCGGCCTATTAGCTTGTGCAACACCATTTATAAGCTAGTTACAAATATTCTTGTTCTCCGCCTGAGACCCTTTCTAAACAAACTCATTTGCCCACTTCAATCTAGCTTCATTCCAGGAAGGCAAGGCATTGATAATGTGGTAATTGTCCAAGAACTTATTCATACCATGAAGAAAACCAAAGGAGCCAGGGGGTGGATGGCCATAAAAATTGATCTTGAAAAGGCCTTTGAAAAGTTAGAATGGGGATTCATCCGCAAAGTCCTTTCCTCTTATAACTTCCCTGCTAATTGGCAAAAGCTTATCATGAGTTGTATTACTACCACCAACACCTCGATCCTCATCAATGGTGGTAAATTAGAAAGCTTCACGCCCTCAAGAGGTATCTGGCAAGGCGATCCTTTATCGCCCTACATCTTCATCCTTTGTATGGAATAGCTCTCCTTCAGAATTAACAAGGCTTGCGACAACAAAGATTGGTTCCCGATTGCTTCTTCAAAGTCTGGATTTAAGGTCTCACATGTCATGTTTGCGGATGACATTATTCTCTTTGCTAAAACTGACCGAAAATCCGCATCCACTATTAAATCCATCCTTGATGATTTTTGCAGTGAATCCGGCCAAACTATAAGTTTACCCAAATCAAAGATTTATTTCTCTCCAAATACTTCAGCTTCCCAAAAATCTTGGATTACCAACTCTTTTGGCATTGCCGAAACCTCAAATATTGGTAAATATTTAGGCTTCCCAATTCATCATGATTGCCCCAGTAAAGATGATTATCTTTTCATCCTTGATAAGGTAAGATCTAAACTCGCCGGCTGGAAAGCCAGTCTTCTATCACCAATGGGTCGTGTCACTTTCATTAAAGCAACCTTGAATGCCATTCCATCCTAATATATGCAAACCCGAGCCCTCCCTCGAAGCACCTGCAATATTTTGGACAGGATCAATCGCAACTTCCTTTGGGGTGCCTCGAAGGATGCTAGGAAACTACACCGTATTAATTGGGATACAGTCTCAAAACATGTCGATCTTGGAGGCCTCAGCATCAAACAGGCTCGTGCTACTAACCTAACTCTGCTCACTAAACTTGGCTGGAGATTCATTCATAATAGGAATTCCTTATGGGGAAAAATTTTGGAGAAAAAATACCTTCGCTCCACTACCACTCAAAAGGTAAATCCTAATGCTTCAATTACTTGGAAGTCCATGCGGTCTTCGCAAGACATCCTTGTCCAAGGCTTTCGATGGATTGTCAAAGATGGCCTTAACACCAAAGCCTAGGAAGACAACTGGACAGGATTAGGGCCTTTACGTTCTCTCATTGTTGGTCCGCTCCTACCTAATGAATCCAACCTAACTGTTAAAGAGCTTCGAGATCAACTCATCAACAATGGCTCTCTTCCTTTTAGCATAGACCTTCCTGCTCACTTGCTTCAAGTTGTTCTCACTATTCCATTTCCACATCACCTACTGGGTCCGACATTCTCTGCTGGAATTTTTCTCCCAATGGAAATTTCACTCTATCCTCTGCTTATAGACTTGCTCTAAATCTGGATCCATGCCCCTCCTTTGTAAGCAATTGGTCTTGGATATGGAAGTTAAAATGTTTACCCAAGCTTCAATATTTTGTTTGGGAATGCTTTCATTCCATACTCTCGACCAAGCTCTTTCTTCACTCTCGTAAGCTTACTCTTGATACTTCTTGCCACAACTGCCCTGGTGCAATTGAGACTATTGAACATGTTCTTAGAAGTTGCCAGCTTGCGCAAACCTTTTGGCGCTCCCTTCCTTGCCCGCCGGCTCTCAAACATCTCTCCAATGCTCCTTTTCATGATTGGGTCACTGGCAATCTTCGATCCAAACTACCCTTTTGCAGACATAATGTCCCTTGGTCCTTTATTTTTATTTATGCTATTTGGGAACTCTGGCTACTTCGAAATGCTGCTATTTTCAAGAACTCTTCCCCGAACCCCAAGGCTGCCGAATCAGCCATCTTTAAAGATGTGGAATTCTATGCTATGGCTGGTTTCAAATGCAAGTCCCTATCCCCGGTCTTTGTCCCCGTTAAATGGCACCCCCCTCAAATCGGTTGGTTTAAGCTCAATTCCGATGGTTCGTTCATTGGTAATCCAGGACGAGGTGGAGTTGGAGCCATCATTCACAATCATGAAGGAAATTGGGTCACAGGATCCCACCGTAGTATCGGCATTGTCTCTAGTGTCGAAGCTGAACTATGGGCTCTACGGGATGGTCTTAACTGGCTAAACAAAAAAATCTGACTCATCTTGAAATCGAATTGGATGCTACAACAGTCATTAGCCTAATTAACCAATTTTCTGCAGCCACTAATCTTTTCCTTGACACTTTGGTGAATGATTGCAGAAATCTGCTGCGGAGCTTCAGAGAAATCAAGCTTCATCATGTGTTTAGAGAAGGGAACACCAGTGCGGACGCCTTGGCTAAAAAAGGCAGTAGTTACTTCCCTTTGGTGGAAGACTTTTGTAATAGTTATACTAGGATAAACTCTGTTGAGGAAACTATTCCTAGTTATTTTGTAATTTATGACTCCCCCCGACTTTATTCAGCCTTTTGTGTCGGCTGACCTTGGGGGAGCTACTCTGTATCACTCTATTTCCTACTCTATCTTATGGTTCCTTTTCACCAAAAAAACCTAGATGAGTGTGGAAGTGAGGTCGCTTCCTATGAGAATTGGGCTAATTGTCTAGAACGCTCATTAGAACCGGGATAAAGCACATGGCCATTAACATGCTGACTTAAAGAAGACCATTGCAGGGCATTGGAAACCTATGTGTGTGACGCGATACTTTTTTTCCTCAATGCAGCCTTAGTTCAAGACCTTGGTTCACTATTGGCTCTGGACCAAAGATCGTTGAACACTAAGTGAAGGTTCAAGCCATTGGCACCGTCATTATGCATAGTGTTTCTATCTTCACCTAAACAGTTAGTTCTCGAGTATTTTTATTAAACTATGTGGGGGATTGTTGCGATATTTAAATAAAATGAGTTTTTATTAAACACATTTGTTTTCTTTAATAACTGAGATGATTTAATGTTCTTAAAACTCTTTGTAAGTTTTTAACTCATTAAATTAACTTAGGTTATTAAATACAAATACTCTCTATCTTCACTTTCCTATAAATACCATATCTACTTCATTTGATAAAACATCGAGCAAAGTCCTAAAAGCTCATTTGCTTCTTTCTAAAAGGAAAAAGAAAAACCTTCCTAAATCTTTTTTAAGAGTTTTAGCTAATTGGGTGAAGAAGGTGTCGGTTTTGGTAGAGCTTCTACCTTCTAACTCGTCCAGGTTAGAAAGGTGTATAGTGGGTGACTGGGCTTGTTGTATCTTAAGGGACGGCGTGCAGTGAAACCTCTTTGCACCAGTTTAATTACCGAGATGGCGCATATCGTCTCAAGAGAGTGACCTAGTCCGCGCCTCAATCTCTGTCACCCCTTTTACTTCTAATTTTATAGAAGCTTGGCTACAAGATTGTGATCATCCAGTCCTTTCCGGTGGTGTTGTAAAGCTTCATTCTCCAACACTTTTTCACCTAGACATCATGAAAATCGTCAATTTAAAGGTAAATTTTATATTGAAGATGCTTTTGTTTTTAAATTTAAATATGCATGAAGAAAAGTAGCTAGTATGTTACAAAGTGCAAAATTTAACAATAATTAGACTTAGAATGTCTTTTTGTGTAAATGTTTTGATGGGATGCATGAATTCTGTCTTTGTTTAACATCCCTTTATCTATTGGCAATGGCAAGTGTTGTCTAAGATTGAGATTCTGCTTGGCATATATCCATATTCATCAGGCCATCTCCAATGAAGACACCGAATTTCTAATCCCAAGAAGAAAATTTTGGTGTTATGAACAGTGTCGCACCAATTTGGTGCGGCACTATTCATGGCACCAAATGAAGATGAGGTGGAACAACTTGGTCCTTTGACTTTTGTGTTAATTACTTTTATATCTTTTTTTAATATTTGAGAAGTTAATTATATTATTTGATAAAAATTTTATTGTTTAAATTTAAATAAATATAGAAAATACACTTTTTGAGACATTTAAAATGAGACCAATATTAAATATATTTTAAAATGTATTAATAATAATTAATTATTAAATAAATAAAAACAATATAAAAAAGCAATTATAGAAAGAATGTACTTAAATTAAAATAAAAGTGCTTCTTAACTAAAATTAGAATAATAATGCCAAATATTTGATCTGTGAAATTATATATTATCATATTAATATTATTAAAAAAATTGAGGTGAGTAATTTAGTTATTTTAAATTATTATTAGTTATTATTTAGGGTATTTATTTTTCAATAAGTCAAATAATATTATTTTTATTATATAGATATAAATTAATTTTACACATTGAAAAAAAAAAGGTGTACCCTCAAAATGGAAGGACTTGACTTACATATGGGTAAATTTGTAATCATACTCCAAAGATAAAACTAATTATAAAAAGTTAAATAACTATAATACCAATTTGGTGCAACACGTTGGAGCAAAAAATATTTTGTGCAAAAATATTCCTTCAAGATTCATTTTTTGCACCAAATTGGTGCAAAAATTTGGTGAACACCTTGGAGATGCTCTCAGCTAATAACATCAATTTTGCCTTTGTTATTCATTCACCAGTTTTTAAGGTGGACGGATTTGTGGCAAAACACTTAACCTTGGAGAACTTTGTTGGTCCTAGTAAAGGCATGGCAGTAGTCTTTCTTAGTGAAGCCAATGAGTCAACCGCTTACCATTGGGGACTGCGATATATATGGCACTGTAGATTTTATCTTCGGAATGGGAACGACTGTATTCCAAAACTGCAACCTGTTTGTCCATCTCCCCAACCATACAATCACATTCACAACCTAGTCTAAAATAGCCAGTCGACAGATTTTGGGCTATGTATTCCAGAATTGCTCTTTCAGAATATCACCTGAATTCGGATCAAGGAAAGAGCTGGGGAAGGGGATAGCCCTGTTAGGAAGAGCTTGGGGCAACTATTCCACTATGATTGTGATGAAGTCATGGCTGGACTCTATAATTGATCCAAAAGGCTGGGACCAGTGAGATCAGAGTGCTGCAGATTTACTGACTTATGGGGAATTTAACAATGGAGGGCCAGGCTCAAACACATCAGGCAGGGTTAGCTGGTCTAAGGTTCTACCTGATGTAGCTGTAGCAAAAAATATATACTGTTACAAAGTATATTGGTGGAGATAAATGGATTCCAACAACTGAAATTCCATACTATGGAGGATTTGCCGAGCTTAGATAGCTAACAATAAACAAATAATGCCTATAAATGTTTGTTACTCTCCACCTATTGTATTTTTTATGATGTTGAATATCTTTATCTTTATATTATATAAGTTTAAACTTAAAAAATCTTGATCTGAAATATCTAAAAACCCTTTTTAATTTAACTATTAATTTAACTTTTAAGGTTTAATATGTAATTTTATTTCGTATATATTTCTTAAATGTAATTGTTTAGACTATTATAGTTTTACTCTACTAAAAACTCTATTCTATTTAATTAAATCTAATATCCATATGGATTGTATATATTTCTGTATTGGGCTAGCTTATGCACGTGTGCTGCACTTGTGTATTAATAATTTATAAATCATATATTAAATAAATGTAATAAATCACATATTAATTTGTAGTATAATATAAAAAATTATATAATCTTCCCTTGACATTTGATAAAGCAACAATTAACATTGAAAAATCTTTGTTCAAGTTTTCAATTGTTTTACATTCTAACTATGCTAGACTATCGCACAACGCAATGCACATTGCTAGCATTCTCGAACTTTCAATATTTAAATTCATAAATTATACAAACGATTTATGATGACAATAATATATATATATATATACATATATATATATATATATATACTCGAACAAAAATCATATATTTTTTTTGTAAACTTTTTATTTTGGTTATTTTTATTTTAGGTATAAACTTTGTAATAATAATTAAATTTTAAATATATATGTACATAATAACTCATTACTTCATAAATATAAATCTATGAGTTTAATATACTCAAAGGTTACA